TTGGTTACCATTGGTGCAGGTGGACTCCAATCTTCCTTGTGTTGATTAATCGAGTACTTTGTATATCGCAGCTCAGGGTGTATTCAGCTGTGTTTAGTTTCTATATCGACCTAGACTTTTAGCTGGCCTATTGGCTCTCTACTAATTCTGCTGCTGTGATCTATTTATCCCGTCAGTACGAGTGTCGGGGTGCCATGTTAGCGTTCTGTTGCCGAGAGGGCTCTGAGTCGCTAACTGGTTACTGGTCTTCAAGAGCTCTTCGCTCTTTATATGCTCATGATCTTTGCCAAATGCCACACCCAGGTTCGGGACGGATTTTTGCACCATATAACTCTTAAAGTTATTGTCGCCCAAACCATTCATTAAGGACATTACTGCTATTTCTTGTTGTAATTTTGATATGGTATTGGCCTCGTTGTTGAAACGTCATATGAAGTCCCTAAGCGACTCGTCTTTCCTTTGCCTGACTGCCATAAGCTCCCCGGATGTTCTCTGCCTTGCGTTGTTGCTTATGTACTGGCCTGTAAATAACCCCATGATATTCATGTTTTTATAAGTTATTTTATCCCTCGTCCCACAGTCATTTACATGCATATTTGAGCTTTTCGGAGCTATTTTTGGTACTAATGTGCGATTTCTAGTGTTTTGTAGAGTTGGCATTTGTTTTGTAGGATTTTCCCGGATTTGCCGGTATTTTCTATGGTTTCCCGGCCACTACGAGATATTAGAGCTTGAAGCACATCATGACCGTTGATCGCAGCCCAAGACCGATCATATCGGTGATTAAGGGTTCGGTTCGTGAAATTGGTTCGAGCAATGGACCAAGAAGAGAGATTGGGCCCCCACATTTGAAGCCCAAGGAAATAGAAGTGAAGTTAAGTCACGGCCAAAGTAAGCCGGGCCCGATCGGGCGGCGATAGGCTCAATCGGGAAGCTTCCCAGAAACAAGCATACCTGAAAAAAGGCGGGCCCGATCGGGCGCGTAATTGCAGCCGTTTAGGAAGTTCGATTTGGCTAATTTGTCGAGCTTAGTTTTAATACTCTTTTATAATATTTCTTAACTATGTTTTTCATTATCCTTTTCTCTCATACTCAAACTCTAGAGAGCTTTTTAGTTGGTGTTTTATTCTTAAACTCAAGATTCTACCTTTTTAGTACAATTCCAATTCTCCTTCTTTTGGTATTCTTTCTTCTCTCTTTATTGTTTGTTTTCTTTCTTTAATATTAATCATGTCTTCTTTTATTTCTTTTTTTAGTTTAGATTTATTTATGCATGAGTAGTTTAATTCTAGGGTTTTGGGGGATCCATAATTAGTATGAAGGGATAATTTGTTATTATTGTTTATTGATATTGCATGATGATTTCTTATTGAATTGTTTTAATTCTTTACAATTAAATTATGAATCGAGCAGATGTGATTTGATTGTAAAAGTATAGCAATATTGAATTGATGAATCAAGCAGATGTTAATTTCATATTAAAGACTATTTTCAATAGGAACTTAGATCTAGTAAATTGCGAGAGCCTATCAGATCTATGTTGATTAATAAATTGCGAGAGCCTATTAATCATGTTATATGTGCAATGTTAATTATTGATTGTTATGTTTTATCCCGAAATATTAACTATTGGTGAACCTGTGACCACAAGCCTTTTATTAATTGATTAATCCCTGTTCTTAATCTTCGTAGTTTAATTCCCTTTTAATAGCAACAATTTGGTTACTTGATAGTTTAGATTATTTTAATTAATTAGGAATAGAAAGACTTGTTTCCTTGTGAATTCGACCCTACTTCCATATCTACATTAGTTAGAGGTTTTAGGTAATACTTTTGATTAGGTGATACGACTTTAGCCTATCACCCCACCAGGGTTTCGAAGCAGTCAACGGAACCAGGCTCCAGATTGGAAAACCAGTCTGAGGCGGCCCCCATTAATGTTGTAGGGAATTGAAGAATTTGCACCACACAGTGTCTGTGTCGGTATACAACAACATATGACTCTCGAAGGCTGCCACATAACTCTAGGGATCCCCTTTGCCATCATGAGTGCATGACATCATTTTGATTTTTTTTTTTCCATTTGTTGGTCAAGTACATCCTGGGTGAATGGGGATACTCTCGGTCTGACTACAGTTCTGGCTGAACATCTTGACGGTCCGCTAATGGCCTCTTGTCGATAAGACTCCGAGTCTCCTGCCTACATACCTTGAGAGGCCTAACGTCCGGATGGTACTACTATTTCTTGGGGTTGCGGCCAGGGTTGAGGATGAGGTTGTGGCCCTGCCTGATTAAACTGGATTTATTTCGAGGTTAACGACCATAAGTACTGACGGCGCCCTATTTCCCCCTGCCCTGGCAACTACCGTCTCAGCTTCCTTTCTCTTCCGAGACATTGCCCGCATGACCTTGGTCGTTATCTCCAATTCCTCCGGAGTAAATTCTTCCAGGGGCTTCGGGTTGGTGCTCGGTTTTGTTCTGGTGTTACTGGCATGTTTGCAGTATCTCTCTGAAGAAGGTAAGTTTCTTCTTCCACCACGATCTCGGGTATATTGTTTACGGTTTTACTTGCGTTGGCATTAATAATGCCGCTATCATAATTGTGGTTTTCAATTTATGGCACTGGTGTTGTCATTTCATTGTTTCCTTCCATGACTGCTGGAGGTCCTTTGGACGATAGAAGTTATTACTATCACCTCCTTTTAGCGCCAATTATTCCGGATGAGCTCCGGTTCCGTAAGTCCTTGAGGGTTGGTAAAGGTTTACCGTCCAATTAAGCACCTACACAGTCAGCACAAATTAGCTAACCCGGGGGATTATCTAGGGATAACCGCTCCGATGCTAAAGTTAGTAATCTGATGAGATGAAAGAATGAAGAGAGAGAAAGTATTTATAGAGATAGAGAGAAAGAAGGATTGTACCTTATAATGAAAATATGCTTCAGTATTTATAGGAAGATAACCAAGCTAGTGTCACCTATCAGCATAGGTGGCAGACCGACCTTATAGGCAGCAGGTGCCTACATGGTCTAAAGCAGCTTTTCATGTGGCCGAGAAAAGGGCCATTATGGATGTTAAGCCGGTATGCCAATTAATAGATGATTAGTAGCAAACCGCAATGTAATCAACAAAAGTTTAACGGTGTCGGCACTATCCCGTACAATATTCTTCTGCTCAGCTATGCTCTGAAGCTTAAAAAAAAGGACCTTATTTTGGAACAGATCAAAAATTAGGTTAGATCTCAAAATGATTATCTAACCATCCTTATCAATAGGAAGGAAGGTGGTTGTTTCCAATCCTATGACCTATTAGTACTAAAAGAAGAAGGAAACACAGCACGATACCAACGCACATGATTGCGGCAACACAGCAATGTTATGGTAGAGACTAAAACGTGAGGGTCACAATAGCGGGCTCCACTCCCATCTCTTTCCTTAACTGTGCGTCGTGCACTGCTCCCGTGAGTTTGAGTAAAGACTTGGAAATCTCCTACTAGTAGTTTTTCTTCTAGTACTGGATCTCAATTGGACCAATTCCAAACTGTCAACTAGTTGCTTAAACTTTTTATTTTTATTTTTGTTTAATTTATGAGTTAGATTTTTAAATAATAACAATGAAAATAATAAGCACTGTTTTATTACTCTCCAATTCCCTATTTCGTACTCATATATCCTTCCTACTTTAAAAGCATTTAAAACTACTATACAATAAAATCCTATAACTTTATAAGGTTTTAAAAAAAAATCCTATTACTGTACAATAAACTTAATGTACTTCCTCCGTTTTTAAATACTTGCTCCATTTCTCAATACGTAGAGTTTTAGGAGAAATTGGAGAAAGTAATAAAATATGCAGGTACTGATGTAGAAAAAAGAATAAAAAAATTGTAAAATGTAAAAAGTAGTTGAGAGACTTGAACGAGAGTGAATATGAAATTAATTAAATATGATATATGTTTGGTCCACTAGATAAGAGAAATGAGGTATATATTGTAAAAGCTTTTCAAATAAGAAAATAAAGCTGGTGTTTAGGGCCTGTTCTCATTGAATGAACTTAGCTGAACTGAACTGAATTGAGCTGAATTGAATATTTTATAAGAGAAGGAAATTAGGAGCTGAACTGAACTGAACTGAAATGAGCTGAGCTGAACTAAACTGAATTTCAACGTAAGAGAACAGACCCTTAAAATGACCGGGAAAAAAAATATGGAGCAAGTATTTTAAAACAGAGAGGGTACATATTAATCCTTTCCCTTTTTTTTTTTTTTTTTGACCTATTAATTTGGAAGAACTGATAATAATGTCTAGAACAAATTAGTTTGTCAACCAGTCCGTAATTTAGGGGTTTTAAGTGAATGGATTATTCATAGTCAAGATTCAAGAACATGTATACTAGTAAAAGGCGGCCGAAAGAAAATAAATAAAGGAAGGCGCCTCTTGCTTTTGTCTTTGGTACACAACTTTAGACCTAGTCAACTTGCAACTTGAGAAGGCATCAATGGATAAGCTCCTTCCACCTAAAACGTTAAAAGTACATCATCCTACGGAGTATAATAAATTATAAATATTATTATCCTCGAAAGTGCTAAAATGTCCATTATACACTCGAATATACTAGGTATTGTATATGATACACCGACAATCGATTTATGTTTGTTTAATCCCTCTCAAATTAAGATAATCCTTTTGTTTTGTATGTGGCATTAGGGCCAATGCATTAAGATTTTGAGAGTAGACTTGGGTCTTCAATACTTTTTCCAAATTAGTTATAAGAGATAAGTTATAATAGGATTACCATTTTTATTTTAATAGAAAGATATACCCATCTTCAAATTGCAGAAATTACTACGCGTTATAATAATATTCCCACTAATAAATTTTAAGGCGTATTCGAATTTACCTGAAGTTGGGATAATTTTGAAAGTTATCACACTTTTGGTTTTGACCTAAATAGAGTTATCATGACCCCACAACAATCTAATCTTATGCTACTTAACCAACCTAACACCAAATTACCAACTACTCGTATTACATTCATGAACTTTCAAGTAATTAAAGGACATGTATGTATAATCCAAACTAAAGATTCCACCCAAACAATAGCTTCTTAATGCATCATTACTAAAATCGTCAAACAATAGATGAATGAATGTATCTCAATCGAACTTTCCTAAAATCGACCATTCGAATTCTCGAAATTTTGTGGCAAGACTGGCAACAATTGCCACTCCAATTTTGATGGAAAAGAAAATAATGGTATGGAAAAAATGGCCAAAATTGAAAAAAAAAATAAGTTGGCTGTTAACTTGTTTAGAAGGATGTCAACTCAGCTTTCCGAACCCATTAGCCAATGAGAAAACGGAATATAGATCTAAACCTCGAGTCCGTCCGGGTGCCCCTCCTTTGAGTGAAGAGACATCCAGCACAAACCTGTTCAACCCATTAAACAAAGATTAATCAGAATATTCATGTCTAACATAGCTGAGTATATTCGAATGCAAAAGAGACTTACGAGTTCTTTGATGCATTTCCGAGATCTAACATTGTAGAATTTAAGTATATTTTGTTACCCACTTTTGATACCGAATTCACCATAGGAAAACCAATCTTTGGGACTGCATATAACAATTAAAATATTTCATCAGGCATAATGAGCTAAGGAAGACAGATCATACGAAGCTAACGTATCGATTTGGGAATTTACCAGATTGGTTTTTTTTGTCAGCAGATTTATCTAAGCCCAGGAGATTCTACAAGCCAAAATACTAAATTTAGCATTTCACTATCAACACAAGCTGACTTGAAAGAAAGGGTTTTTGAACCAGGAATAATCACCTTTAGAGTCTGGTAACAGGCCTCAAGATCATCATTGACCAGTACATGATCAAAGAGGCCAGGAGATTTTCCCTGTTCGAGTTCTCCCTTGGCATTGCGAAGACGTTTCTGAAGCTGCTCCTCAGTCTCAGTCCCTCTGTTTAAAAGGAGAGGTAAATTAGAATGAATCACAAAAGTAACTAATATAGGCATCCCAACTGCAAGCAGCTCTAGTTTACCTAGAACGGAGCCTCTTCTCGAGATCTTCATATGATGGGGGGCATATAAAGATAAAGATCGCATCAAGAGAACTAGCCCTCACTGACTTTGCACCTTGAACATCAATGTCAAGAATGCATCTCTGCGTAAAGAGACCAGTATAATTGTCTCAACGTTTTGTAGTATAGACGAGCAATAACTACTAATCTCTTTAAAGACGAATTGTTTACTAAATATGATGTTGTTTATACAAAAATGGGGAAGAAATAGAACATTCGTCCTCACCTTTCCTGCATCAGCAACAACCTCAACAGATTCGACACTAGTTCCATACAAGTTTCCATGAACTTGAGCAAACTCGAGGAACTTTCCGTCTTTTATGTCCTTCTCCATTACACTTCGCTCAGTAAAATGGTAATGAACCCCATTAACTTCCTTCTCTCTGGGAGCGCGGGTTGTGTGGCTCACAGAGAATCCGAACATAGACGGAAACTCCTTCATGAGCATGGCAATCAAAGTGCCCTTGCCCACACCAGAAGGACCACTGATCACAATAGGTTTCCCAGCATACCCCATCACTCCCTTACTCCAAGCCACAACATTATCACACCCTAAAACCTTTTTCTGTTGTCTAACATATGGTGTGTCCACCTATCAATAAATTGCACATTAATTAATCATAACTGCCTCAAATTACATAAAAACAAAATATATTCCAAGAACCATCAACATTGAATGTTACAACTAATATACCCTCTTATATTCATCATTCCACACAGATTAACTCAAATCATCATAATATTCTTCCAACTATATAGGATCCTCACCTCAAGAAACCAAAGATTATCATCTGTGGATGCACCATTCTTGATCACCAAAACCCGATCCTCGCCTAGCGGCAGAGCCCAAAGATCAGAGCTCAGAGATGGCTTTGTGCCCAAAACTGTAGGATATACCCTATAATGTTCATGACACTATGTTATTCAACCTACAAACATAACATAACATAATCAATCAATAAAACAACATTCATTTAGCTTACCAGTTTTCCAAGGAGTTGTCAAAAACCTTAACTCCAATGGACAATGTTGAATCATCATAATCCCCAATTAAGTACTAAAAACAAACCAACAAACAAAAATCAATAAAATCGATACAAAGTGAATTTTAAAAACTATTGGTGAAAGAAACAAAAATCATAGTATGACAAATTCCAATACCTTTGTTTTACCTACAATAGTTGTTGTTTCTCTACCCCTACCAAACAAATCAACCCCATTTCCATTACTTTTCTGCAGATCATCAAACAGAAAAGCTGGCGCTTCACCCTGTCAAAAACAACCCCAGATCAGATTTCTAAAAAATACAGGTAACCCAATTTGATCTCCCTATATTTCAACAAAAAAAATCATCTACTTCAGGTATGAACCATTTTATATTGGCGTCGGTAAAACAAACAATGATGTAGACGTCATTCGATCCCGGGTCTCGGGTAACCCGAAAAAATATAACAAATCTTTTAAAATGAATGAAAGTAAATAGAAACAATGAACTTACCATGGAGTAAATCTTCTTACTCCAACAAGAGACTCAAAACACCCCTAAACTGCAATAAAAACACAAAAAAATAGATCAAAATCAAATTCAATCACCCAAATAAGACCTAAAAATGACACAATGTAGCACGGAAAAAATCTGGGCAAAATTAACATAAACCCCAGATGGGAAATTACAGAAACAGAATAAAAAACTTACCCAAATCCTAACTATAACCAGAGGATCAAAGAAGCAATGTGTAATGAACCCAGTACCTAAAAACTTGAATTTTTCTTTGTTTTATAGAACCAAAAGATAGTTTTTTAAGAGGGGTTTTAAAGCAAATGGAAGAATGAAGAAAACCTAATTAAAAAAAAGGAAATAAAAACCCTAAACAAAGATTGATTGAAAAGGGGTGAAAGATGACAACTTTAAGTGAAAATCAAATCAAATAATATGAATGGAATTAAAGTAAGACAAACTTAGGATTGAAAGAATCAGAAAAGTGTAGGAAGAAGAAGTAAAGAGAAAAGAAGAGAAGAATTGGCATATTTGTAGGCAAAAGAGAGAGAGAGAAGAAGAAGAATAATTTAAAGTGAGGGAAGGGTTAACAGAAGGAGGTGGGGTTTGCTGGCTGCCTTTGTTTTTGGGTATTCCAATTTCAATTCCTTGTAGAAACACAACCCAGATTACCGGACTCCTTCCTCTTCTTTGGTGGGAGCTTTTTCTTTATTTTTTATTTTAATTTTTTTTACAAAAGAAAATAACTAATAAAAATAATTTATGGGGTCCTTGTTGATTTGAGTGGTTACAATGTTTTTTTTTTTTTTTTTTTTCATTTGTACTTGTAATCTTGTATATATATAAATGAAAAGAAAAATAAAAATGAAACAAGTTGACAATGGTAAATTATGGAGTATGAATAAAATTTATCACAAAATACTGCTATTTTCTTCGTTTAATTATTTCAAATTCATATTTTTTTTAAATATTGCAACATTGGAGAATTATGCTTTAGCTGTCTTAGCTTTCAGTAAGGCTGGCAACGCACAAAACAAAACGTGTGATAAGCTGGCAACGCGTCGCTTCAGTAATTAACAGAACTCATTAACGGCGTTAAAATGAAAGAAAACACGCAAATTTCAACAACAAATCAATTAATAAACTTTGATGCTTTTACTAACTCTATTTTATTACCAAAGACACATCAAAACTTTCAATTCAAAGCAACAAAGATTTTGATAAAATAGATAAATAAATAATTAATCAAATGTAATCTTCAGCTTACCATTGAAAAACTCATAATATGTATTGAAAACTAGAGTTAGTCATCAATGGTCCAACCCGAAAAAAAGTGCAAGTTTGAGAAAGGATTTTTTTTTTTTAAAAAATTTAAAACCTGAACCCGACCTGAAAAAATCCATTTTTACCCGATAAACCCGATGAAAATTTTACACTGCACCCTAGTGTACCTTCTCCTACCTACACACCCCTCCCCCAAGTGACGTCATTTGGTTCTTTTTTGTATTTACTTTTTTTTCTTTTTTTGTTATATACCATTGCAAGTTAATTCAATGTTTTGAGTTTCAATTCCATGTAAAAATTATTGTACTCGTATAAAATAAAGAGTGTGAAGAGATTTCAATGGTATCAATTATAATAAAGCAATTGATGATCCTTGTTTCAAAAAACTAAAAAAGCAATTAATGATCCTAAATTCCTAACTCACAAGCATTCAACTCAATAAGCAAATTGCAAGCCTAATCAAAGCAATTACGAACAAATTGCAGTTGTTATGGCAGCGGTGGTGGTGAGATGATGGTGGTTGTTGTGGCAGCGACAGCGAGACAACAGTGGTCGTGGGGAAGTAAGGTAATAGTGGTTATTGTGGCTTAATTAATTGAGAGGGAAGGTGCAAAGGATTAAGAAGTAGGGAAAATATAAAGAAACTCAAATCACCATTGATAAAGCTTGCTTCTGATTTTAATGAGAGGTGTATAATTTTTAATTTTTTTTTTATAAACAGTATACTCGTATAATTTTATAATTGAACATATAATATTTTAAAAACGAACATATTTATTTGATAGTTGTAAATGAACATACAATTATTTATAATTGAACATATAATATTTTCAAAATAATGAACATATTTATTTAATGGTTGTAAATGAACATACAATTATTTATAATTGAACACATAATATTTCAAAAATGAACATATTTAATTAATATTTGTAATTAAACATATAATATTTAAAAACTGAACATATTTATTTAATAGTTGTAAATGAACATACAATTATTTATAATTGAACATTTAATTAAGGAGTATTATTATAGATGAAAAATGTATAAAATTTATAATTTTTGTACTTGTGATTGAAAATTTTTGAAGTAAAAATAACTAATTCATGATATAATTGAGTGCTTTAATTAGTATTATAAAAATGAACTTTTAAGTATATGCACATGTTCATTTTAAAATTAATGCATTTACTTGTTAAAAATGAAATGATCATGAATAAGAATGAAAATGAACATTTATCAATACGTAAATTAACATTTATATATAATGAAAATAAATATTTATCAATATGTAAATTTACATTTATCATTTATTAAAATGTGAATGACGTTATACTAACCTATAAATGAACATTTAACAAAATAAAAATGAACATTTATAAAAATAAATAAAAAAAAAAAATAATAATAATAATAATAATAATAATAATAATAATAATAATGAAAATGAACATTAATTTGGTGAATTAGAGAAGGAGGTTGTTGCGTTGCTTAAGCGAATTAAGAGGTTCTCAATGACGCAAGACATTGGAGCACGTGCTGCAACTTATATTTTACTAGGGTAGGCTTTGTTATACCTAGAGGAGTGGGGGCCCAAATTGTATCTTGGCTTCCCACTAATTTATTGTAGGTTGTATGACTTTTTTGTTTTTGAGATATAATAATAATAATAATAATAATAATAGTAATAGTAATAGTAATAGTAATAGTAATAGTAATAGTAATAGTAATAGTAATAGTAATAGTAATAGTAATAGTAATAGTAATAGTAATAGTAATAGTAATAATAATAATAATAAACTACAAACTATAATCTTTGTTTCTCTTCTCTTAAACGGATTCCTTTGCTCTGCAAACAAAACTGAAGAATGTACTGATATAATTTACTAGTTTATCAATAAAAATTACTATAGTATAATACTTATATTGATATAAAATTTTCATGGCTGATGTTTCGATTACATTTTCGAAATACATCACAACAAACAAAATTAGTAAAACCTATGGTTTATACTCTTTTTCATTCCAAATTTAAACAAAATAACTTACTTTTTCATATTTTGCGTCTTGTTTATTGAATTTCATAGTGCTTGAAGATTTTTTTGTGATAATTTAAAAACAATTTTGCAATTAAAGCTTTTGATGAGAGAGAAACTTGCAGAGGAAAGGGTGTGGAGAGAGAAAATGTAAAAAAGGGTGAGGAGATATAAAATGAAAGTTAGTGGAGGGTGTGGATAGTACTCTAAATGATGCGTTTAGAGGGGGTGTAGGGTGTCCTACCTACACTAGGGTCTAGTGTTCACTAATTAAACCCGACACTATTTGTGGGTTTGTGCACAAGATTTTATTCATTTGGCCAGCCCAAGTTTTATCACCTTTGCTGAAAACACACCAAAATAAATCAAAATTAGGTAAACCATTGTGCATAAACGGGTAACATAAGGAGGTGACTTCATAAATAAATTGTATATTGCAAACTTCTAAATATCTCTCCCTTTTCATAATTATCGTTGCAATAAAGCATTGAATAAAGTTTTAGGAAAATTATATGGTGGGGACTACACGGGAAATTCTATAATATAAAGTGTAGTTAATGAGAATATAATTTATGTTAATTAGTTGAAGAGAGAAATAATAATAAAAAAAGGAAGTTTTGCATAAAAATACCTTTTGATACATACATATATATATATATATATATATATATATATATATATATATATATATATAACCACCTTTTTTATAAAAAAAAAAAGTTAGCTAAGTATTGAACAAATATTGCATCATATTCATTTTAGAAAAGAAAATATTTGTATTCACACTACAAATACCCTACATACCCTTACCTTTTTAACACTTGATTCTTTAATCATGTTTATATTCACATAAACAAATTTGTACTTTTACCTTTCTCTCTCTTCCTTTATCCCACCATTAAAATTTGTGTCCAACCCTTATGGTGTAATATTAAAAGAACGAAAGAAGAAATAGTTATAAAAGAGTAGCGTAAGTAGAGTTGGTACCTTTACAAATATTAGTTCCCCGTACCAGTTGTTAAGTAACCCTTCCCCTCAAAAAACTAAAATAAGGAGTTAATACCACAATAGGGTATGTACTAAACTTTGGTGAAAGTAGCAATTAAGGTACTGAAGATTCATTTTTTGCAAATTGGGTACTGAATCGAACATTACCTATTGTAATCAGTTGCATGCAATTTTCCTTAAAAAAAATTAAATAATGATTTTTCTCTGTCTTCCCCTCCTCTCCTCTCCACTTCCCTTAAAATTTCTCATTCCTTTTCTATGGTAGGTTAGCCCTTCCCAACACCATAACCCATGCTCACAGCTAGTCCCACAACCTCTTAGTTATTAATTCAACCCAATGAAAATTTATATAGTAATATCCACAAAGAATCAACAACTAACTCATATTTAATTATTAGTGCAATATTTCACTACCTTTATTTAAAAAAAAAAAAAAAAAAAAACCACCCTCACTACAACCCAACGCCCACCCCGTCTCACCCACTAATTACCGCTAGCCTTCTCCCAACCCTGGCCTCTTTCTCTTACACTTGTTAGCTAAACTCTTCCACCTCCCTAAACGACCAGATTTTGGACCTGTTCTCTTTAACTTAATTTCAATTCAGTTCAGTTTCTAATTTCCTTTTCTCATAAACAATAATTCAGTTCAGTTTAGTTCAATTCAGCTCAGCTCAGTAAATCAGAACATGCCCTTTATCGATTGAGAAAACCACAATATTCACCTTGAATGTCCACCCTAACCACCAAAATTAGGGATGTTCAGAGTTACCAATTGTGATTTGGTGCGGTTTAAAGTTTGAAAATTGCGGTGCGGTTTCTATAAATGACCAAACCACAATTTGCAGTTTGGTTCAATTTTTGAAAAACAGACCAACCTGCACTTTGATCGATTTTCAATTTAGATCATCAAGCTTCAAAACAATTTTTATTAAAATATATATGAAAGAACTTTAAAATATGATGCAATGTTTGACTATTAGCTAATTAAAGGTAAAAAAAAAAAGTTTAATATTTGAATAAAGTTAATAATCACAAAATAAAATAAAAGTTTTTTTTTAAAAATAAATATTTACAACTTTTTAAAAAATGTGATTAAATCACAAACCGCTCTGCACCAAACCGCTAAACTTTATTGTCGTATTTACTCATATAATAAGTAACCCCTAAAATTGAGAATATATAACCTCTATACCCCTTATTAGGTAACTCCTAAATATACTATCATTAACGGGCGTGTTCGGCAGTAGTTTTAGTAAAACACGACTTAGTAAAAAAATGAGTATTTGACAATGTATTGGTGGGAGTAAAGTTTAGTGGTTGGAGTAGTTTTTGTAAAAAAATTTATTATTAGCCGTTAGAATTTTTCTTCTATTTTTTTTTAA